TAGCTTTTTTAGTGTAAATGACCAGAACTACCGTAGCATTCACCAGAACTCGGGTGATTCTTACCACAATATGGTGAATGCTACGCATATAATCTGGTGTTAATAACCATACTCGGATCACTGTGTCAGAATATGATAAAATCAACTATATTTTTTTTGAGTGCATATTCCTGTCTAGTTTTGGTTGGTTAGGATGACTGATCCGTGTCACATCTTTTTCTCATCGTGGTTTATTTATTGATGCGGAAAGCTATAATTGCGCAAAATTACGGATAGTGTGAGGGCAAATCGTGAATTTTAGACCTGCCAATTCGCTTACCGTAATTTTAAAGGCATTTACCGGCAATTGGCAATTGAAGCGGTTGACGCAAAAAGGGCATTTTTTGTTTCGGTCTCATAATCTTCCCTAACATTTCATCCATTACAATTGAAGCAATTATATGGAATTCCTGGAAACTTAACAGAATTTTCTTTGTGATTGTTCAATGCTGAAAACGATAAATTTAGAATGTTTATCGAACGGTTTATTCTCTTAAATATGAATTGGCAGTGAGGATTGTGAGACACCGCAACCAGTAAATGCACTTTCTGCGCCCAACGTCTCAATTATCCTCTTCCTGTGTCCGAAGTCTGCAGGAGATCTATTACCTTCTGTAGTCTCGACAAAGTGCTGATTATTAAATTTGATCTATAACGCTAAGAAAAAAGAAGACGAAACAGGTATGGAGGGATCTTATTTGTTGAAATGAGTGGATGACGGGTAAAAGACTACCTAACGGCAGCCCACGTTAGACCCCGGCTAGCTGTCCGTTAATTTCAACAATCTGCCCGCAGTGGTGAGGCGCGAACAATTATAATTGGTAATCGATATTTCCCTAATTGAACCTGTGGTGAAGAATCGATTATTAAGGCGTTTGTCGCGAACACCTTGTTTATCAATCCTTTTCCGTAGGTTCAAATGGCAGATCAATCGATATCTCGCAAAGCACGTCACGCCACTAATTTTAACCAAAAGGATGACTCCCTACTCCCTTTGTCTTGTTCAACTATCGCTTTGATAAAGAAGGAGAGAATCAAGACATGGGTAAACAAGGTTAAAACATTGAAAACACTAAAAGGCAGGACGTTTCGAGCTGTTACCAGCTCATTTTCAGTTACAAAAATACACAAAAAACAAGTAAAAAATTTAGTGGCGACCTGACCCCAGCCGTCATCACGTAACCACTGGAATTCAGCCTGCCTTTTAGTGTTTTTAAAGTTTTAGCCTTGTTTACCCATGTTACGCGATAACGGCTGGGATCAGGTCGCCACTCAATTTTTTACATGCTTTTTGTGTTTTTTTGCAGCTGAAAATGAACTGGCAACAGCTCGAAACGTCCTGTCCATTAGTGTTTTTAATGTTTTAGCCTTGTGTACCCATGTTTGAATTCTTTCCTTCTCTATTCGTATATTTAGGCTCTGTTTTTGTGCTTTATCTATCGCTTTGTCTATCAATTTCAATAATGAGGACGGAGTCGGGCCCACGATGGACCAGTCTCGGATGCAAGAGTGCAGCGCGTCGCGTTGGCAGATGGATCGTTTTCACTTTCGGAGCATCATAATCGGCTCCGATAATCGAGCATTGTCCGGCGGGCTCCCGCTTTTTGCCGAAACAGAACAATGGCCGTCAACTTTCGGTTTCGTTGCGTCCGAGGAAATCGCCGCGCGCCACCGTGTGATGACCGTATGCAATTTCTAATGGCGGCCCCCCGCTCCCGGTACGTGACGTCCGCTGCGCCGCCTCGTGTGGAAAGCGACTCCAAGCCACGCCGCGCCGTCCGCTCTCGCCAAATTCAATCGGATCATTTATTTTCTCGCGGGAAAACGCTGTCTCGGTGATTCCTTCGAAAAATTCAGGGAATCCCCTTCGTGGCACATACACAAGGCGTGGCAGCTAATTACCCGGATTTTTGTCATGAAACGTGTATTAAGCAAAAGTACTCATTTTTGGACCTTCGTTTATTCAAAGTATTGTATATGTACAGTACTTTGAATGTAAAATCTTGATGGATTTACGGCGTTCTTGCTTAGCACGGAAGCACACGAGTCCAGACCTTAGTATTTTTTTTTTTTCAAATTCCTTACTTTTTTAAGAATAATATAAAAATGAAGGGATATGTTACAGTAGTAGTCTCTAATTACAGTATATGTATAGTTAACTCGTTAAGCTGAACTTGGCAAGGCAAACCGGGCAACTGGCACAATTCAATCAGGCTTATTTAGGAGCATCAATTTGTAACATGCTTAAGAGTGAAAAGTCTGTAAAAGCTCTTTAGTTACAGGTCCGTGGTTCCTCTCCAACCTAAACTTAGTAATTCTAGTACTATAATCATGGCGTACTATAATCATGGCGTACTTTAATTCTTTATTTGAGAAAGAAGTTTTATTGGTACTGATTTTTCCCATCAAAAAGCCCCCTCCCTCCACCCCCCCAAAAAAAAACCAATTAGAACTTTGACTTTAGCAATCAATTTGGTTTAACTTGATCGTCTTTTATTGTTTCTGGTAATTATCACCGGAGATAAGAACTTCTCAATTTTGTGATCCATGCATGATTGAAAATTGTAACTCATTTCTTCTTTCTCCGAGAGAATCCTTTCCTGCGATGGAGCATTGTTTGGTGTGCGCACACATATAACCTTCCATCTTATGGTTATACTTTCTACTTGTTAAGAGAGTGTCTGCATGGTGGCGGTGTATCTCTCATCGTTATTCGTGTTTAAACTCGAAGGCAAATATTTGGTTTTTTTTTTTCTGCCCGTTCGTTAAAGTCACCCAGTCAACACGCGGCGTCAATGACTTACTGTGCTCATCACGTATGTTCTCTCCCTGCATTCCAAGAATACGACCATAGTGTTAAGGCGTGCGTTGAAAACGGTTGCTTTGACCCGTTTGGAGGGGGAGGGGGAGGGGGGGTCAAAAATACTTTGGTGCCTCATTTGGTTTCTAATGGACCCCGCCGTCCCTTAAATTCTTCGACCAATGAAAAAGAATTAAATAAGACTTTATTTGAACAACACCATTTTATTTGTATTTGAATGATAAACAAGGTGTTGCATGAAATATGTATTACTTACTGAGGTACCTTTCGGCTTACGCCATCTTCGGAGTACATATTCTTCGGAACATACATATATCAGAGTTTCACAAGCTTAACAATGTATACATCGTGGACATCTCACGAGAAGTCTACATTACGAGAAAGTCGAATATTTCATAGCGTTACTCCTAAGAAAATCGTAAACATTCGAATCAGCTGATTGTGGCTACGTGCACTGGTGAATTCACCGATACATCGATATCACGTTCGCTGGAAAAAGAATAAGATTTACACACGCAAAAGAGTGGTATACTGTGTAGTGCTCTGTACGCTTGCTTGGTCACACTATCTTCCTCTTATCAAATAAGGTTAGACGTTGGTAGAAAAAGAGATTATCCTTACGCTACGACAGCAGTGGACCGGGATCCCCCGATTCCGTCTTAAATTCGAATCGCGTCCTGAAATCAAATTTCCGATTCCCGCCCACAAAAATAATTTTTAAAAAGAAGTGGCAGCGTCGCAGCAAATGGAATGATGATAGAACAACAGAAAAAGGAGACGTTTAAAAACTCACCACGGAATTACGTTGAGAAGCAGTAGTTGAGCAGAACTGTTGAGAAGCACTAAACTGACCGGGTGTATAGAGCCCGGTGCGTCAAATGGTATAAACAAAAAATTACAAATGTAGCAACCAAAAAAAATTGGTAGGCGTATTCTCATGAGATACAGCGCTAATAAGTTTGAATACAGAATATTCGCTGCTGTCGTCGAAGACTTCGGTAATACACGCTTCTATGGCCTTTACTTTTTTCAAAGTCTTAGATTGAAGAATGACCTTATGTTTATTTGCCGAGTTGATTGAAGTTTTAGAATCTTTTAAAACTTTTTTGAGCACGCCGGTGAAACTGAACAGATCGGGGTGATTTATGTGAAATGTGGAGTTTTAACGCGAGTGGAATCTCTCACACGCATTGGTGGTTTTTGTTGGCGCCCATTTCAATTGCTGCCACGTCGCCGCCTCTTTTTAGAAATTATTTTTCTATTACTATTATATACTTTCTATTATATAATACTATTAGGAATCGGAATCGGGCTATGCCCCGGTGGACTTGATCACTTTGCTCCGTCACATATGAGTGCTACATATTTAATGCTCACCTACAATAATGGTATACTTTGCAAGTTTAATGAGTTATTTTGTTTTAGCGGAATCATTTATCTCATATAAATTAGATTTGTGGTTTATGGAAGCAACGTCGATTTAAATTAAGTCGTCGCTGCCGTCTTTCATGGCATAATAGTGTATGTATGAGTTTTCGCTCATTGCATGGTGTCGGGGGTATACCATTTATCCGTCACTTTTATTTCAACGTCATTTCTCGCAATAAACGCCAGAGAACATTCAGGGAATCGTAATTTAGATTTCTAGTACAGCATGAATTCGATTTTTTGCAATATGTATGAATTATTAATCGGCGCATATGTCAAATCAACAGGCGCAGTTGTCCGAACTTGTGACTCACGAATTGCAGCAAACCGGAAGAAATTTTTGTTACCCAGCGCTTTGAAAAAGTGCTTCATGTTGTACTTTCATTTTCCCATGAAATTTTTGGGGGCGTGCAGGAAGTACTTTGCCATATGGTTTAACTATTTGACCGCCCTTGGCGAAACTCGAATGATCGATTTTCGATATTGACCCATCTGAAGCTATGGTAAAGGATAGATTATCAGTTCTCAAAAGTTTATCGATTCTTTTTCATAGATTTAAATGGCAGATCAATCCATATACATATCGCGTAGCACGCCACCCCACTGGTTATCGCAAGGAACGTTCGGGTTGTTGAATCGCATTTAAACCCGTATTGAACGCCGTTCTATATTTTACGTTCAACTGACGAGGGTTTGTCTACATCTGTTCTAGAAACTTTCCGAAAGCGAAGGATACCTGAAGGGACGAGCCGAAGATTTGACACGTTTTCCTGGAGAGGAAGGAGGAATTTTCTTCAAGACGGGAGGATTGAGTAACCGCCGAGCTGTCTGTCAACGGATCCAGAATGCGGCTTAGTGTCGTATTCGAACTCCTCCTTATATTTCTCATCATTGCCTTCTCAGCCTCCAGAGTCATAGGTCTGCATCTTACACAATTATTCAAGCCTTACGCAGCCAGGGTGTCCACAATACCGGAATTGCCGGAAAGTCCCGAAAAAGTACTGGTTTTTTAAGGGCGGTCCGCAGAATCACTAGAAAAGTTCGGAAATTCCGCAAAAAGGTCCGGAATTTTTCCAGGATTCTGTTACATTTATCGCAACTTGAGCTAGAAATTCAAATTATTGAAATTTGTCGAATTATGTCAATTGGAGGTACTGAAAATAACTGAATTTTTCCGCCGTAGAGCTACTGAATTTCTTGGGAATGAACCGGAAAAGTACTGTAAAAGTACTGAATTTTTTCCAGCCTGTTTTAATAGACACCCTGGTAGCTTTATTTTGCGAGTTAATCGCCACGTTACAGCATGCGCGCCCACGTCATATCGTTGAACTCAAATGCTTCAACAGTGGGGGTTAATTTGGGGGGGAAAAGGACCTAAAATCCCTTTTCTCGCACACAGTTATCAATTTGACCCACATTCAAGTCTCCGTAATATGGGATCTGTTTTTAATTCCTAGCGTCTGCTGCTCTATGACGTTTCCTCGGTCTGCTAAAATTAAAGGCGTATGCATATATTTTCGCCTTAGTCATTCGGACAAGAGGGCTCATCCCAAAGTGGTATCACCCTCGACGTCAGAGGCGCCACAGTGTATCGAACATGACCCCTTTCATGAAGAAGTTTCAACTAAGCACCCCCCCCCCCTCCTCAAAATGGTTGATTTCAATAACAGATCCTCATTTGTTGAAGATCTTATAAGATTTCGTTGGGATACTTAAATTTCTTTTTTTAGTTCAAACCGTGATGTTCATTTGGCAACTTGAAGTGCCGGGAATTATCAGATTACTGTCGTGCAATGTCGTCATGGAATTCGCAAAGAATTTTCTATCATGGTATTTTGCTTTTGGTGCCATCAAGTCTTTACTTCACCGTCGGGAATACTTTATATCTACTCATTTATATTTATTTATACTTCCATTATTCTGACTTTAATAGATTTTTTGGTATTATGCCCACCCCGTCAGCATCACGCATTGGATCTAGAGTCCAGACTCTTAAAAACATCGACAAGAAAAAATACTCTTGATTTAATCCGATTTTTGCTTAAATCAAGAACAAAGCCTCTTAATTTGAGCGGATTTCCTTTTGATTTAAGCTTGAATCTGATTGAATCAATAGTACTTTTTCTTGTCAATGTTTTCAAGAATCTGGACTCCAGATCCAATGTGTTTTTTTTCTAGTGTAATTTATGAACACTCCCTAAGGGTGTTTTCTGCCGGTGATTGGCCAAAGGCACATGGTACTTATTATGACATGCATATTTAATTGAGGGTTGAAGCACCAAACTTGCATGGGTACTGCACAAAAGACGAGGCCTCTGAAATGCTCATTTGGTGAGCGGGGTTTTAAGTTCGGACGTTGCATCATTTGAAATTCGAGAAATGACACGAGGAAGGGTGAAAAACTACTTAAAGCTCTCACGTAATTAGTCCTTTTTTTAAAAGAATTTGGAAAAAAGTCTTCGGCGCCTCCCCCTCTAGTCCAATTTATCGACTTACTTAGATCCTCTATTTTTTCCTTCAATGCGCTTATTTCTGAATCGGCATTTTCCTGCAACAAGAGAGATGAAAGGAAAAATAAGGATAATAGATGAACAAAAGATGTGTCAATATATTCACCCATTTAAGAATTCCAAAAGCCAAGATGATTTTATTTTATGTCAAAAATATATATAATATACCTATAGGTATAGGGCACATTTTCAAATTCTGATGAGCCGTTAGATGTATGTCATCCAAGAGCATCCAGGCCTCATCTGGAAATTGACATGTTCCTTGTTGACCTGAGCTTGGCTGAAGTTATTATTTCAATTTAAAACTCCTCTTTAATTCTCTATTTATTACAATTTTGAGAAGTATTTGTCTACTCGTGAACCCATATTTTAATGGAGGGAGCAAGTGAAAACTTCTGATGAGCCGTGAAACGCAAGTATTCGTATGGAGTGCAGGACTTCAGGGCTCATCTCAAAATGGACATGTTGCCGTCATAATAATATGGATCCATCAGTCGATAAATAATTACTCCCATTAGTAGAATAAACCGGATGATGAAAGTTCATAAATAACCTCATTCGTGCTTATGAGTCTGAAATGAAGCTTCACTTGAGTAAAAAATTAGGCTAATTTGGCCAAAATATCGCTCGGTTCGGCTTGGTTAGGTTAGATTTATAACAACTTACGAATCCGGTGGCCTCGCAACTATTGTTATACAGTACTGAATCAGTGTCTCTGATCGTCTGCTGCGAATGCAGGATTTTTTACGCAATGTTCCTAGGGAAAGCATTGGTTTCAAGCTGTTTCTACGTTTCTCGTTTCTGTGGTGCGTGCTGCGAGCATTTGCGCGAAGACGCACCCGCGAAACGCTCCAGTTCCGCGCGAGCAGACGCCCTCTTAGTAGACCCAACTGATTCGACAGAGAGCTAAGCGTGAGAGAGGAAACCGAATCAGCGAAACGTTTCGACGGCCATGCGCGCACCCAGTCTTCGGGCGGCGCGACGCTCGCTCGAGCAGATCCATCAACAATCGCCCGCGGATCCGTGGAAGAAGAAGAAAGTGAAAGAGCTAATGTTAATCGGCAATTATCTCGATGAGTAACTCTTTCTCCGACACTTGCAGCCGGAAGATTTAATTATCCACGCTGCGGCGGATCATCGCACGGTTGCCGACTCCTCGGCTATCACTGAAAAAAAAGAATGGTAGAACGATGACCGCGAGTTTGCTTAAAATTGCGCTATCACAGTTTGGTCAGCGCGGGACGCATATTGGCGCCTGCAAGACCTCAGGAATACTTAACGCATTGCGCGTATACCACAGCGCTTTAATGCTACCGCTCTGAAAGCACAAAATTACGTTGAAGATTGAGGCTCGGGCTCGCCCGAAGGCGCGACGGCCTGGGGGGCGATTATTGAAACTGATGGACAAAGCTTTAGACAAAGAAGACAAAAGGGTTATGGGGGGATCCTAATGGTGGAAGCGGGTCGTTGCAATGGACAAAATAGGTAGGTACACTGAAAAAAAAAAAAAAGATTGGTAGAATTTACCATTCCTTCACGTTGTATTTCACACAGAGTCAATTCTGCCAGGAATATGGTAAACGTTACTACATACTGGTACAGGTAACCATTCTTTCGGCAGAATCGACTTCGAATTCACGCTGTGTTTCACACAGCGTGAAGGAATGGTAAATCCTACCAATCTTTCAAGTCTATTCTTCCAGAGGAATCGTTACCTGTACCAGTATATGTATAGTAACGTTTACCTTTCTTCTGTCAGAATTGACTCTAAATTGACGCCGTGTGAAATACAGCGCGAAGGATTGGTAAATCCTACCAAACTTGTTTTTTCAGTGTATCGGCTTCTTCTCTTGTTTTCCTTGTGTTCGAACATTGCGCGCTCAAGTTTCAACCAACAATCAGAATGGATCAGTTGCGCTGGTCACAGAATCGCATTTCGGTGCTTGATTCTTGTGGATCAGCTAAAAATAATTTCAGATCTGTTCCAGCAGCAACTTCCTCCGTTCAATATTAACCCAGATATGCGCTTTGAAACGGTTTATGACGTCATCCACCGCGGTTGTGGCGCCTTTGGTTTCTTCCACCTTGCTCCCATCAGTTTCACGGCGAGTAACCAGTGCAATATGTGTGTCTTCCCGAGGCGAAGGATGAAAGCAAGGTGGAAGAATCCAACGGTGTCACCACCGCGGTGGACGTCTTCATCAAACGAATGTTTCAAAGCGCATTATCTCGCTCAGTATTGAACGTAGAGAGTTGCTGTTCGGACGGATCTTATTATTTTTAGCTGATCCACAAGAATCAAACCTCAAAACACGATTCTGTGACCTGCGCAATTGACCTATACGGCCTTACGGAGGTAGAGCTTCCCCAAGGCCCTGTCCACACGAGCGTGTTTCGAGGAACTTATTCGACGAACTGCTCAGTTCCCGGAACTTGTTCCTTACAACGAGGTATGCTGTCCACACGAGTTCGCCCGAACTGGAACCGGAACTTCAATAAAACTATATAATTATTGCAAAATAATAGATTATTACGGCCGCCAAAGTAACAAAAATAAATGTCAAGACGTGTAAAGGACGTAAAAAACGAAAACAAACTAATTCACATCAAAAGAAACATACAGGGTTATTCAAAAGTCACGCACCGCTGGCTATAAGGGGGGTGGCCATCAGAAATTTTTGAGTTGCCCCCGGCCCCTCTCCCACCGAGAGGATCAAAAACTGGAAAGTACTTTAAAAGAGGTTTCCCCCTCGATATGAGTAAAAACGTCTTAAACTGCAAGTCGATATATTAATTAGAACTAAAGTTATGGCCAGTGGTGCGTGAGTTTTGAATAACCCTGTACGTAGAAGCTCGGAGTACGAGGGAAGTTCCGGGTTTTGGAGGAATAAGTTTTTAGCTCAGCTAAAAAATCTTCCGGGAAGAGTTCCGCGAACCGCGCTCATGTGGACAAAGCCTAAAGCCGCCCACATACCATTTAGTCGGAAAATCTACGAAAAAAATTGTTGCTTTTTATCAGACTGAACGAATACTGAGTGTTTCTTACCGGTACTATCTCTTATTTCGCTGAGGGCTTGTCCTCAGGTCGCGCTTTTCGGCCCGACTCCATGAGTGTTGTTGATGGCTGTCACTGGAAAAAAAGTAGCTTGAAACAAATCAAAATCAGCTTGAAGCAAGCTGGAAAAAATCTTAAATTTGCCGCCAAGAAACGTATAGCTTGAAATAAGCATGGCCGTGCTGCTTGAAATTAGCTACCCGACGGAATCTTATTTATTTTTCGTTTAATGCTCGGATCCAATACTAAAAACTGAAAGTTTTATTCATTTTTCCAAAAATTCCGTAACGCAGGGATAGAACGTTACTGATTCTTCGACATGGATCATGTTGAAGTCGTCGTGCGTTGCCGCGGGTTTTGTTCTCGGCAGGCGGACTGATGGCCATGGGGGCGGGAAGGCGATCGCCTCCTAACAATTTGCCGCGGAGGTCCCGAAGGGGCCCCCGCGGCGAATTTGTTTCGAGTCATTGTTTTTTTCCCCATAGTGTTGTAATTTTCCTATCCTTTTCAGTTACTTATAGGCCCCAAAATCCTTGAAAATTTGGCTCTAGGAGACATGAAAGGGCGCCTTAAGCTTATGTGATGAAGGGGCCCCGAAGAATCCTGAGAATGGGTTATTTTGAAGTTCAAGTACTGTAGAATTTAACTCCAATAATGCTTAAAATTGTGTTTTAAAAGTGTGAAATTTGCAAAATTTTCCAAGGGAGGGCCCCCGGCCCCCTTGGAGGGGCCCCCGAACGACAGGAGGGGCCCCACATTTAGGTCGCCTCCTAACTTTTCGACTACCAGTCCGCCCCTGTCTCGGTTTGCAGCACTATGTTAAAATGCGCGGCTTTTGGAGATCTCCTGGAATGACTTGAGAATGTAGGAATGTATAACTTAATATCCATGTCGAAAATGAAGGCGGAGTGGTTACAATCCAATGGAAACTTAATTCAAGAAGTTGGCTGCAACCTTAATTTAAGTCTGATTTTTTCAGCTATTTCCAAGATTCGTGTCATGCTCGAAACCAGGAATCTTGAATCGAGTATACATTATCTTGAATCAAGAAACAACTTCTTAGAATTAGCACCCATGGTGGCTTGATGTAAGACTCAGCAAGTTTGACTCAAGATTTTTGTGCTGCTTAAATCAAGCTAGCAGGTAATCCAAGCCATAAGGTAGCTGCAATTAAGAATCTCGAATCTTGAATTTAGCAATAAATTGTTTGTTTTAAGATAAAAATTCTTGAATCAAGCTGATTCTTTCTCAAGATTCCGAGACGGCTTGACCGTAGCAGACTTTTTTTTCCAGTGTATATGTCGCTGAGGCTGACAGTGAGGCGCCCTCATTAATTTCCTCTGATTTATCAATAAGATATCTACTTATCTACCTATTCCGTTATCCCCTTCTTTTCTCTCTTGCGCTCCCGTCATGGATGTTATTGGTTCTATTCATCCAAAGCCATGCTGGGAAAAATAGTATCTTTTATTCCTCTTTATTGGAACAACGAGAAAACAAAAACATGAAAAACGTGGCCTGAAGCGTATGGAACAAGATGGCACAATAGTGCTGGGTCCGCACTATTTTGCGGGAAAAACAAGGCCAAGAAGTTGAACAGGTTTGATTAATGTCAAACATGTTGAGCATTAGCTGCGTCTTGCAACTCGTTCGACAGGCCATGGGCCAATATTTGGAAAGCCTCCTCCGTATCACCGATAGGGACGAATGCAAGAGCTAGAAGCTTTTGGATTCCCTTTTTCACTATACGCTTTGGCCCAAGTGGAAGGAGCATACTCAAGCGGATGGTAACTCCAGGGAAGGATGTATTGAGGCAATAATAATTCCCTTCTCTAAATCACTTATGATCTCTTGTGGTTCTGCGAATGGAAACATTCCTCTGTTTACTGCGTTTTTTGACGAGGAATTTGTGGTTTATAAAACATCTTCTTCGTTTTTGGACAAGGAATTTGTGGCTACAAAAATAAGAATCTCTCGTTATAAGTTTTCTCGGATTTCCCCCGTTATAATCCAATTTTAAGTCCTGAGCTTTCAATCCTCAAAATAGACTTCTGCGTGGTTATCACTGCCTTAAATCATCTAGGATTTGTATGTATGAATGATTCTTTCCACCCAACAGTCACCTCTGTCTCCAACGTTCATGGTAATTCCGCAATTATTATTTTCTGACGTGTATCTTTCAGAAACCCCCGCTAAGAATGCGCTGACAGGCAAATCGAACAAGGGACTGAAGGGGTCCCGACAGGACCCCCTGAACCGATACTGCGCCTGCACCACCCTCCAATGTAACTGCTGCCGAGAATTCTCTCTACCCGTCGTCCCCGTCAAGGGTCCAGGTGTGTATTTTATTACAGAATATACTCTTCTCTATCATTAAAAATACTAAAAATCCTACTCGACATGTAGAGACAATGATAGCAATCGGAATGATGTTTGTCAACATTTTCCTCATCTTTGGAAGGTCCAATTTCGTCCTTTATGCATAAAATAGTGAGCAAACATGAGGAAACCGCACGAATAACAGCCGATAACCGGGAACTGCGTTGTGAAAAAAAAAAAAACCGCATATTAAGTTGTGTATTTGATGTGCTACGCCGACTGTACTTGGCAGGTACTCTGGTTTTGGGTGACTCACCCCTTTTATTGAAGGATGATTGGTTGATATCGCGATATATTTTCGGTTTTTACTGAAATACACTTAATTTAAAAAATCAGTCTACACGCTGTTATTGCGCCTAAAAATCATTTTCGTTGACGTTGGTGAGTAAAAATCATTTTACCTGCGCCAAATCAATGCAAAATGAAATTATACCAGTGCTTGCCTTACGAGATAATGCCAAAATGGACCTGGCACTTTCTCTTTCCCGCTTTAGCTTAGACTGAACCATTGTAATAATTGACGTTTGGTTGTGGTTCCTGTTTTAAAAAGTGGTGTGATTGTGTGAAAATTGTCGCAAGTCCGGCCGTATAACAGCAGGCTTCTCAAGATTTAGCTTTTATGCGGTAAATATTGCACAAGGAGCTTCTGAGGGCCGGTTTTACCACCGCTGAGGCCATGAAAGGCTTTTAAGCGTATAGCTTGTTATTTCATCCATTGCTCCTGAGGCCTGACTTTACTCGGGAAAAGGAGGGTTTTTGACTTCCAGCTCCAGCCGTTGCCTAACTATGCCACCACTCCTACCACCCATACTATACTATACTATTAGTATACTATCCTATACCACCTATACTATCGTATACTCCAGGGCACGGAGAATTCGAAAAGCCGACGGGAGCAACAACGACCTATACGCGTACAGGCTATTAATAGCACGGTGTCTCCATTTTGGTATTTAAGTAACTAAAAAAATTCAATTTGTTGCTTATTTTCCCCAGTATGTGCCAAAATATGTTCCACGTGATCTCTCTGACAAGGGAGCACTCAATCATAAGAAATGTTGAAAAGAAAAGACAGAAAAAACCAATCAAATGTACTCCAAATTAATTCCTTTATTTGCGGAATCATCTACCTTAGTTCTTTGAGTTTTCAATCAAATTTGTAGTCGAAAATGCGTATTTGTCAGTACGTTTTCACACGACTACCGGATGTTTTCTGGTAACTTTCCTCTGTCCTACGAAAACTTTACAGCTGCTCGGAAATTGATTATTCCGGGAAATGAGCACGGGAAGCACGAAATTCGATCTTTACATCATAAATCTATCGAAATGTACTTAAATATTGTTCTCCGGAAATCAGGAGTGTGCTATGCACTGTACTTGCCATTTTTTTTTCGTTTCGTTTTATACAGAGTGCCTACCCTTTTGAGTTGTTTTGCCTTACGGGAAGCTCTTTGCCCTTCGATCCCTCGTTTCTAGCAAAACGGAGGAAGCTTCTAGGAGTTCGTTTGCTCCTGCACACTCGCACATCGAGTACCTGTATTCTCTGTCCTTCCATACTGCCGTGCTAAGGAATAACGTCGTATGAGCCTTTAGACGTTGCTCTCATTTACTTCAATGAAAACAGAATTCACTCGGGGAATTCTAAATATTTTTCTTCAAACTTTTCAGACAATTTTCTACGCAATTTGATCTGAAATATCTAGAAATTTTAAGGACAAATATTCTTAAGGTGATTCGATGGACGCCATATTTTGTGTCAGAACGACATGCAATATGTCGCATCAATTGGTTCCATTTTTTCAGCTACTCGTCATTTTTCTCAAATTTTAAGATCGCAATTCTGTTGTCAGAAGACCAAAGCACCCACTTCCCAATTTTAACAAAGAAATTCAACGTACTAAAGGCGTAGTTTTTTTAGAGAGAAAATATCGCATTCGAGTGCAGTTTCAATATCGGTATCGAATGCGATGTTTTCTCTCTAAAAAAAACCACGCCTTTATTCCGATGAATTTTTTTGTTAAAATTGGTAAGTGAGTGCTATAGTCTCCTGATGACAGAATTGCGATCTCAAAATTAAAGAAAGATGACGAGTAGCTGACAAAATGGAACCAATTGATGCGATATATCGCATGCCGTTCTGACACAAAATATGGCGTCCATCGAATCATCTTAACTTTCCTCAAAAATACATGTTTCATCCGGGGATATTTGGCAACTCTCGAATATTCATACGGCGTTTTTCCTTAGCACGGCATAGCATATAACTCAGGGTTCTGTTTGTCTAATTGTGCGGGTTCTTTCATTTGACTCGACTTCAACAAGTAGTCCAAACTAGACTGAGAATTGGTCACACAAATTTTTCCCATAGCTATTTGATGACCCAATCAAACCGTCCTGCTTGCACTTCTTGTCCAAATTCCCCCTTAACGGTAGATCACGTTCTTATAAGTTGCCCACTTTATAAAGATATCCGAAAACGTTTTTTTCCCTACCCCTTACCCTCTCTTAAAAATTTACTTCTGAATACTCATCCTGTAAAACTTTTTGAATTTATGCGCTCCACTAATCTCAAAATTTAACCTTTCCCCTTAACCCTTTTGTATTTTTACTGATATTTCCATGTAAATTTATTACTGTTACTGCCTTCTTTAGAGGTGTAAATGGCCTTAGATGCTGAAGCACCGCTTTAAAATAAAATTATTTTACTACTACTACTTTCTCGTTTGTAGGATGCGCCTCCATCAGATACGTAAGCGGAGATGCTATGAGCGTTTCAATGAGTTTTGGAGATCGAGTTCTCCGTAACGTCACCATTCAAGGTAAGCTCCATCCAATCGTCCATGCTCCATGTATTTCACCCCGCCTTCTCATTCATTGTTGTGGAGGTGATCGTTTACCGGGACTTGATTGGCTGTCGGTTGATTGACTTGATTGATTTAGTCGACGAGATTAGTCAAGGAAACGAATGTTCGTAAAATTCACTCGACCGCTTCTTGCTGGACAGTTATTCAGAAAGATTTCAAATTCCAACATTCACTCTTTTACCAATACTATTAGCGAATATATTAAGAAATTCGAATCTTGTTTGACCATTCGCCCATCATCTTGCTGAAGAATCCCTATACTGTTAAAAGAACTACACGATAACATACACTAAAATATTGATGATTTGCATGCAGATGTATCTTGTTGCTAGAGTGCACAAACTATTTATTACCTTTTTACTGCGAGTGACGCAAGAATAATAAAATGAATGCTATAGTGTGTCTGCTCCTAAGATTTAAGCCTCCTGTTAAGTTTTGCAACCATCTTAAAGTATCACTTGATCTTGTCGACTCGGTCATGATTTCCGATTTGAGAAATGACCACAGCAAACACGAAACAGTTTTCATGGCACTTCACAGGGAAAAAAAGTCGCTTGGAGCTGCAGTCCAGACTCTCGAAAACAATGACTAGAAAAAATACTCTCGATTCAATCGGATGTTTGCTTGAATCAAAAAGAGATCCACTGAAATCAAGAGGCGATTGAAGAAAAAATCCAATTGATTCAAGAGTATTTTTTCTTGTCAATGTTTTTAAGAGTCTTAACTCCAGATCTAAGCTTCTTCTTTTCCAGTGCTGAAATATAACTCGGGCTCTGAGGCGATCTAAGACTTGCTATTTTTTTTTGCAGGAAAGAAACCCAAACCAGTTTGCATGAGTCTGCCCGGTGGGATCTCTAAATTCTGCGGACGTGTTTATGGCATCAGCCGGGAGAAGGATCAATTCAAAGCGTGCTTAGGCTTGGAGCTGCGCGCCCTCGACGACGTGGAGGCTGCGCTGCGCGTTTCCTGCTTCCGCTTCGGGCCGCAAGGGCTCAACGTGGAGCCCGGGCAGCCAGTGCCGAGCTCCGTCGAGGAGGAGGACGAAGACGACGACGACTACGGACTGACGGAAGACGACGATGACGACGACGAGGAAAAGGACGAAGACACGGACGACGACGACGCCGGCGGCCTTGACTTCGGGCTCACCGCCTCCGACGACGAGGAAGAGGAGGAGGAAGAAGAGGAGGCCGAGAACGACGTCGACTCGGGCGACACCGACTACACCGGATTCAGCGCCCTCGGAGACGACTTCTTCGAGTCCATCTTCGGCTCGGCCCCGACCAAGAAGAAGAAGCGACCCGCCATCCTCAACGACAAGCCCCTCTCGGCCGACATCGTCCCCCTCTCGCCGTCGCTCGTCTCCACGCCGCCCCCGGTGAGGTACGAGTACGTCTCCGCCACCTCCCCGAAAGCGGAGAGCGTCACCGAGAAGCTGGCCCTGTCCAGCCTCGCGTCCGTCGTCACGTCCGACTACAAACCGTCGAGCGGCGCCGCGGAGCAGGACACCGAGGCGGTCACCTCGACGGCCATGACGGTTTCCGTCGTCCAGAACTCGAAGAAGGACGTGGCCAGCACCAACAAGGTCGAGGACAACGAGGTGACGACGCACTACGACGTAGCGCTGGACCCGGCGGCGTCCGACAAGGTGGAGAAGATCACGGCGGCCACCAGCGGGATCGCCGTCACGCCGGAGGCCGACGAGGAGGAGGAGGACGATGAAGAAGACGGAGTCGAGTCGGTGGTGGAGAGCGCCGTCGACGCTCTGAACCCGGCCGAGGACGACGAGAAGGAAGGCGAGGAGAAGGAGGAGGACGAGGAGGAGGAAGAGGAAGAAGAGGAGGAAGAGAACGACGAGGCCGAGAACACCTCGAGCAGCACGGCGTCGTCGAACGCGGTGAAAGACAAGAACGAGGACGACGATAGCGGAGACATCATCGAGGATATCCTCGGGGCGACGACGGACGACGAAGACGACGACGATGAGAAGAAGAAGGACAAGAAGGAGAAGAAGAGCGAGCCGGAGAAGAAGGAGGCGGAGGAGGAAGAGGAGGAGGAGGAGGCGGCGGCAGAGCCGCAGTCGGAGAGAGCGCCGTCGACGACCGCGACCTCCGCCCCCGAGCCAGTGCCCAGTGTCATCTACCGCAGCAGTCGCGTCCACAGGCGGATGCGACTGCCCCCGCTCCCCGAGGAGACCAAAACGTAAACGCTCAACCAAAGAACCTCCTGTAATTTTCACCTAATTTATTTGTAATTAAATTATTTATTTGTACATTAATAAAGTGTGTCCAACTCGCGAGAGTGAATGTAAATATCAACTTGGCCTTCGTTTCACTCCTTCGAAAAGACCTCACACGTGTGAATCACCCTCTCGACTCTTCGAATGCAGGCGCTCAAGTAGCAACTTTCAACGGGAAAATCGCGATACATTGATATTAAGTCGCGATTTTTCTTCACGATTTGTTGGCGATAAAATCGCTAGGATCATCGATATCTGGTCGATTATCCTCGTTCTTGTCGCAATATATCCATAAAATTGCGTTCGATGAAATCGATATTTTAATTCAATTTACCACGATTCTTTGTTCGATAATATTGTAATAAACTGCCGTCGATAAAATCACGATAATATTGCAAGCTTATGCGATAAAATCGCAATTCTTTATCTTTTAATAATGCAATAAATCGACGTTGGTACAATCTCGATTTACCGATTCCGATCGAATCGCAAATTATCGCGATCACTGCTACTTTGGGAATGGCGAACTGGCTTGTTATTTTCTCAAATTAAAGTGAAAATATCCGTTTGGTCCAATTCTATCATTTTTGCGGCTATACAGAAGAGCGAATTGTATCTTTCAGAACATTCTCGTATCACATGGAAGAAAAAGCTCCGGCTCCTGAATGCGGGACTCTCTGTTTCCTCCTACGTAACGCGTGGAGATGTTTGTCACATTAATACTCTTTTATTTTCATGTATTCCTGAACGTATTACCGTTTTGGATATAAACTTGCGCCTACAAATCTTATCATTTTGGATTCATACCTGTAAATCTTATCTTTTATATTCGTACCTAGAATGAGGCAAAACCTGCAGTTTATTTTGGACTTGTCACTTTGTGACATATGATCCCTTTTTTTTTCTCACAAGATTTCGGTGACGAAAACCCTAGTTTCTTTCCGTCAGAACTGACACCGGAGTAAAGAGAAATCATTTTTAGTTATTACTTTCTCGGGATCAGGCATCAGGTGCTCAGATTTACACTACCTAATACCATTGAAACCCCTCTACTTTTTTGAACCGTGAAATTTTCGAGGAAAACAAACAAATTAGTCAACAAATTCTTAGTTCTGTGAAATAAACTTGATGCCATACTGCTAATAGTTGAGCACGCATGCGATAATGCGGTATTTGGGATTGGGAGATTTAGATGACCGACCGCCAATGGAACACTTTGCAGAGGGTATGATGAGCGAAGTTTCTTATTGAAGCATCATCAGCGTTTACCAGTCCTGTTTCCCAGGATGTTCACGATGTCACCAACACTTCATTTCCATCGGGCACTACTATAAACTATCCCAGTCTTGAATCCAGCGGAACTCCGTTTCCCATAAGTAGGATTCACAAGGTCCAGGCAAAGATCTACTTCACAAACAGGAATTGTGAGATTAGTCAGGGCAAAATAGCGAAAAAAGGGGGTCAACCCGGAATAAATTGCAGCAAAAGGGTTTTTTTGCGGGAATCTCTCTATTTATACCACCTGAACAACATATACTAAAAGTTTGACACGATCCGATGACCGGAAGGGGGAGAAATGATCCCAAAACGTTAAAATGCACTAAAAAATTTGCGTACTTTTTTAGATATTTTTGCATTTTTGAAGAAAAGTATCGGGTTTCTGCAAAAAACGACATAGAACTTTTTTAAAAGTACATTAAATTTGCTTTAAAATGAGTGGTCGCACAACACTCTGCGATAATTCGTTCTTTAGTTACAGGGAACAGAAGAGAGCATACAATTTCGACAATTTTACGAAAAATCGTGTTTTTCGGCAGTTATCACAATTTTTCACCAAAAATATTGAGTTTTCTCAGGAAAAGCTACGAACCTTTTTGAAATTAAATGCGATTTACTTTAAAACGGGTGCTCACACAATACTGTGCGACGCTTCGTTGCGGTGTAACACGAGGTTGAAATAAGTCCATGATTTCGGCTATCTTCTGTGAATGACCCCTCATCGGCTGTTATGTGCATTTCGCAATTGAACAATTCAACTTACACCCGAAATGAAAGAACTAATATTAAATTGAACATTTCACATCTAGAATGAGTGAGTTCCTACAGCTTTCGCGAATTGATACCGGTGGCTCCTTTGACATTGGCAGGAATGTAAGTCTTATATGATGAACTACAACGATAACAATAAAAGTCCAGTCCATCACTCGAAGGATGGGAAATATATTGTCATTTCTAATTGTTTTATGAATTTTCTCTAAATTGTTATCTTTTAGTCGTGTTTGTAATTATTCATTTTCAAGCAAAGCTATTTCTTAAATAATGACAGCGCAGATAGAAAAGAGAGTATAGGCTGCTCTATGAATTTTTAAAATACATAAGCAGGCATTTTTGCTCGTATCATTATTTATTTTAATTTTAAACAAAGGAGCAGATACTCAGCTTAATGTGCTTACCAAAAGGGTAAAATTTAATTTTGTAAGAACTGCACAATTTACGAAAATGTAACACGCCTGATTATAATGAAGATTGTATTTAGTCAGAGTCTGAATCGCTGATTTTAGAGACATGTCTTGTCGCTGCCATATTCGCACACTCCATAAGATGGCAATTACTGCAAAGATCAGTGCATGGTACACCCATCTTCTTACAGTTCATGCAGTCTTACAGTCACAAATCCATGATGTGTTTCTAACTGTGGTCAAAACTTGGTACGCCCTCTTACCTAGTTTTACGCAGCTGCCATGATACCAAGTATCACACATGTCACATGCTATTCCCATGTCCGTCTCTCCTACGCTATCCAAACATTCCCCACACTGGAAAGAAATTACACTTTTATTTCCTGCCTCTACAATCGTCTTATCTCCATCCTCTAATGAGGACAAACTAGACATACTCCCTTTCTTGTCCATACACAACTTTTCCATTCCCTGAGCCAATTCTACTTCCTTGATTATTTCATCAACAGCCCCCTTAATTTCTCCCTCTCTAGAATTCATCCCTTTCACTATACAATTTTATCCCTAACACAAATCCCTAACCTTCTCGCATCCCAATTCTTCTATCCCACGTTTTTCTACAGGCCCTATCCACACTCACTCAGTTCACTATCACAGTACGCACATCTATTCCACAAATCTCGCACTATAGTCACTAATCACCAAAAAAAATCACACTGAAAACACACTATCTAGATCCGTAAGTCCAGGAATCCGCAAAATCACATATATTTGATCCTGAAATTCAGAAAATTCCGTTCGCAAATACGAGTTTCTAAGCCAAGATGGCGGCGCATTCCCTAACTTCACACAACCACACTCCACCTGTGCACGATGCAGACTGAATGATTGTGAGGATCAATTATTGAGGCGCAGGAGGCAACTCGGTGAGAGTTGGAAAGTACTCCTTATTCTTTATGAATCAACCCCGCGAGCAAGCTTCGAGATCATCGGCGCCCATCCAAACCTGAACCTGAAAGTAAACTCGATACGCGTGGTACTGGACTGCAGCAGACGTTGGAGGCAATTGTTCCGCTTTGACGAAAGTCTTTGATGTGGTAACTTTTGTTTTGAAAATTCTACACCAAAGATCCTCCTAAGTTGCATCTATTTTTCCTTTATGCGTAGCAAAACAACTGTTCTTTTCCCAGAACTTTCAATTTTATTATGAGATCGATTCTCACTGCAAAATACATCAGCACACTTCTGAAATTCATCACATCTCAGCAGCAGGTTTCCCCACACCAAAAATATGTGACAATGTGTCGCAGCCGGTGAAAGCACGGAGAAATAATAAACGTTTCCTTAATTCAGGGCCAATCGCGCTGAGAATATCTTTGACATTATACATAACTGTTTTTTGACGTAGAATATTACCTATAAAGTATAGCCGATGGCGAAAATTAGGTGAATAGCGGTATAACATTAAAACAAGGAGATCTGAGTCTTCTCCGATGATTGTGGCATCCAGAAAGGAGAATAAAGATGCTCAATCAACTTCAAATAAAAATGCTCCGAATAATTCGTTAAATAAAAATTCAACTTAGGCTCTAGTCACCACCACAAAGGACGAAAAGTCTGAGAACCCTTCTGGACGAAACCAACGCACTCCCCCCTCTTGCGTGCTGTGAACAGAACCTCACAAAATTTTTCAATGCCCTAAATTCCGTGATATGAATGCCTCTCAGCGCATCGAATTAGCTAAAAATCGTAAACTGTGTGAACGCTGCCTCAGCGATTTTCACGAAACAGAGAAATGTCGTAGAGACTACCGGTGCATTGCTTGTGATGAACCCCATAACACATGGTTACACCCCCCCAAACCTACCCCGACTCCTGAGAAACCGTAACCTACGGTCTCAACGGTCGGCGCAACCTCCCAACCTGATACGATAATCTTATTGGCCACCGTTCAGGTTGAAGTCTCCTCACCGAAGAAAGCCGCCATTCTAAGGGGCATTCTTGATTTAGGTTCTCAAACTACGATAGTTGTGACCAAATGCGCTCGCGCACTTGGTTGCAACATAAATCCAAATCTTAACCCTGTGAACGGGATTTCTGGCTACCCCGTTCCTATTCGCGGGATAACACGAATCAATTTGAAACGTAATGGAACAATGTTAATCCGCGATCACTCGGTCACGGTCATAGATAAAATTTCCAACCCAACTCCTTCTACGCCAATTTCAGCGGAAGTTCGGCACCGCCTCACTAGTTATCCATTGGCCGATCCCGATTTTGACAAGGTGAATGCACCTGTCGAAATTTTAATAGGCCTTGATATTTTGCCAGAACTCTTGTGTGGCGAAACCATTTCTCTCGGACCCGGTTTTCCAACGGCTCTGAAAACCAAACTAGGGTACGCCGTAATTGGCATCGCACCTACCGCCGACGCCACTCCTACTGTTTTACTGGCGACTGAAGATGAATATTCTACTCAAAATTCAATTGATGAACAAGAGAATTTTCAGGTTGAGATCCCTAAAAACTGGGAGTTAGAGGAGCATCCACCCTTCGTTCCTCCTCCCCCTCCGGAAAATCCTGCCGAAACCTTCTACAAGGAAAGGAAAAAACTTAGAAA